GCAAAGTCCAAACGATTTCCAATCAATGCATAAACCGATACGATTCTTTAAAATTTCAATTAAGCTCATTTCATTAAATTTCAATGTCATTAACATTCGCCCTGTTACTCTTTGCTACCTAGCGAAGGATAGGGGATGACAGGAGATAGATTAAATTTCAAACAGAAAATATCTACAATACATGAAGGAAAATTAGGTAAAAATCCCACAACGCGCCTGCAAGCTTATGCACGATCATAGTAAAAAACAGAATAAAACGTTCCGAACAAAATATCCATCATATATTTTAGTATGTTTAGCGATAATCAGGTGTGCACCAAACCCTTTTTATAGAAACCCCCTTTTATAACGAGCTCGAAGAGCTGGCCCTAAGGGCCTGCTCGCAAAGCGAGCTTTACGCTACTACATAGTGGTGGTTTTGAAAACTATCGTCCGAAGTACTGAATAACAAGGCAACGATAAAAACCGAGGTATTCTAATTGAAAAAGGAAACGTAGACTCTGCCATCACAAACATTGAAATATCAATATTTGGATATCTATATTTTTTAGCTTTTTAATTTATTTTTCATTATTTTGTATACTTTTGATAATTTTTTGATAAAATATAACGGACGTAGGTACAAAAAGTTAAAAATAAAATCGAAAGAGAAAAATGACGTTTTATTTTCTATGTAACGGTCGATATTTACATTTGAATTTCGACGTTACGTCATGTGACTTTCATCATCATGTGACGTCTGCCTTACGTCTGTGAAGGCAGTGATTACAATTCTGCCAAGGGAGGTAATCAGTGTGAGGAGTTTGAGACTGGTGTCCTGCGCACTTATATAATATAGGAACCATAATTGGACAGGGAACCAGCATAAACGGAAGCAGTCCATAAAATACCGAATGACAATTTTAAAACGGAAAATGTAAAATAAAAATGAACGATTATTTTATACTATTTCACGGCAAAAGCTCGCTTTGAAGCTTTGTTATTTTTTTTCATATTAGAAAATTCAGCAGAACCTAAGATTAAGACATGGCATTTGACAACGATGCCTACACTCAGTGCTTTTTTGTGACTTGCAGTGGGGCAAAACAGCAAATCTAGACGGCTCAGGTAGTATATTTTGCATGCCCAGGTAGTATATTTTTCATACCCAGGTAGTATATTTTTCATACTTTTTCATACCCAGGTAGTATATTTTTCATACCCAGGTAGTATATTTTTCATACCCAGGTAGTATATTTTTCATACCCAGGTAGTATATTTTTCATACCTAGGTAGTATATTTTTCATACCCAGGTAGTATATTTTTCATACCGTTTTCAATATTTAATTGTTTTTAAGTGTTAGAGTGCAGAGCCCGCTCTTATTTAATTTAGTGAAAAACAACCGGTTTTTTTCGTAACGTGAATCAGCATTTTTTTTAACTTTCATCAACTAATGCGATTTCAGATTTTGTCTTAAATGGTACTTTTAATGGATAAATAACAGAAATAAGCGGGATCTACCCTTTATCCCCCCAAAAAATAATGAAAAAGTAAAAACAAGTTACGGAAGAAAATATAACCTCGACGTCATTTGTATTGGTTTTTCTACCGTACGCAAATCTTAAAAAAAGTCACGTGATATAGACGTCATAATGACGTACCTTCTCCTTTTCTGGTTTATGGTAGATCCTCAACATTAGCACAGTGACAATATTGATGAATACGCTGAAGCACATCATCAAAAAAACGTAGACACACAGCAGTGACATCGGGCTCGCGATCTGCGGCAGAAATTGCATTGTCGTCTGCATCAGGACCACGAACGACAGGAAACACGTGATACAGAATCCTAAAAATAGACGTCATTTTGTAATATAACCATACCGATTAAACTTATAACTATCATACAAAATTATTAACAGAGTCAAAAGAAATACATGCAAACAACATTTGTGTTCCTGTCACAAGAAACGTTTTTTTTTTCCAATAAACGTTGTTAAGTTATATTTTGTACATTGCTGAATACGGAGAAATGTTAGTCAAAAAATATTGACGTGTCAAAGCTAGATTCTGGGATATTTTTGTTCTTGGTCAGAATCTCGCTTCTTTGACAAATACTGTAAAAAGGAAAAAAAGGCATTGCGCATGCGTATGAACATACCAATTCGTTCCCCGCTCTCGGCCGGTAGCAAGAATACAAAACCGTTTAAAAGTCCCAGTAATAAAATGGGAAGTCCGATATTGAAGGTGAAGTACAGAGGTTGTCTTTGAATTGTAATCTCAAATTTGACGTAATCAGACCCTCCATACTGGTAGATTTCCGAGTTTGTTGAGATGACCTTCCATACACCATTCTTCTCGTAGTCGCTGTAGAAACAAATCGGAATGTTTAGAGTTTTGGGACATAGATAAATCTTATGAACGCTAAACTGTCATAATTAGTGATAATTTTAGTGTTAAAATTATCGATGACTATGATTAAAGTGATAAAATAAATAAATAAATAAATAAGTAAGTAAATTGATGATTGATTGATTGATCAATCAATCAATCAATCAATCAATCAATCAATCAATCAATCAATCAAAGTAAATAGTTTGATAAAATAAAGTCCCAAGTATATCTCAAATATAATGTTAATTGATTGGTTTTTAGAAAGCTGTATTTTTATTTTGATAGAATGGGGGAAATCGTATTTTGATAATCATCGAATTTAAAGTTTACTCATACATTGATGAGTAATCCGTTGAAAAGTTTTCATAAATCGTGTATTCCCTTGACAGTTGATTCGGGTATGACTTATACAATATTTAGATGAGTTAGTATGTAAAAATACTTACGACATATCCCATTCTGTCGTCATAATTTGCAGGCGGATTTCTTCGGACATGTAGCCCCATGCCGTGTATGTGAAGTCACACACTTGCCTATCAAACGGGTAATACGTAACATCCGGAGTACACGAACCGCGGAGCAAAATTCTTGGTTCCCATTTTACCGTTTGGTCATCAGGGTTGTACATCAGCTTGTACGTTGTATCTCCTATATTTTTAACCGTATCAACCGCGTTGACTAGCACTAATGACGGGGACCAGGCTTTGTCGTAATCTATGAGAATGGCATCCAACGAATTTCCGGCAAGAGAGGTGTAAGTGGTAAAAACGACTTCATCGGTCCATTGTAGCTTCATACTGCCGCTAATGTCAATTTGCCCAAGGACGGCATCGAACCCGTTCAGCGAGTTCAAAGCGAGCCCCATTTGCACCGTCATCGGATTGCTTTGGTTGACAATAGGTACAATGTCAATGAGACTGGTACCATTATTGTAATAGTGGTTGTATATTGTTTCATAAGCAGACCGATAAGCATTCCAAGTTTGACCATTAACATGCGCGAAAGTGATAAATACAACGTGTAGAAAAAACACAAAACCGTTCTTCAGTAATTTCATTTCTGTTACTTAATTGCGTCAAGTGATTTATTCCTTTTATTCCTCACAAACTCATCGCAAACTATGTTTTTAAAAATCTAACTTCTTCAATATAAAGAAACCATTGTTCATTTAATTGGTCAGGATGTATAAAATAAATATTCGGTGTACGTAATAGGGTCAAAATTAAATTGTTACTTTACATTGTTTAACATTTTTAAATATTTAAAGGGACTCCACTGAGGTTAAAAAAACAACAAAAACAACCTAACATTTGAATTTCTTACATAAATGGTCTGGGGCACTTTAAACAGTAATATATGCCAAGATAGTTAAGACATATACCTTGAAATAAATTGAAAATCGTATTTTTATGCTTTTCTTAGCCTCATTTGAGCGAAAAGCGTTTAAACGCTTTTCAGTTTGGGTCAGTTTTTTACAATTTGAATAATTATTCTTGAAAAACGGCGTGCGTGAATGATCTGAAATTTTGCAAAAAGATTAGTGATCTAATCCTACATCAAATCGTACAATTATCTGTAAAAAATATTTTCAGTCCTATCATGTCAAAAATACCTCAGTGGATTCCCTTTAATATTTGACCACAAAATACGAAATATATGAAGTATGTATTCTGAGAAGTGTTCTGTTTGTGGAATTATAAAATATGCACTGCTATTCATTTTTAAAGTGGTAAACTTTGGTCTGAGAAAAAAAAATACCGTAAAATCCGATAAAATACGCTTCCACTGGCCTTAAAGTAATTGTAATTTAATCAGACGACATGAAGAACTCTCTGACCTTAATCACTTTACGTGTTGAGGACATAAAAAACAAAGCCCACCTGGTATGCTCGATTTATAGAATCGATCGCGTGACTAACAATTAAATCAACCGCTATTGAACTAATACAATATTCAACCAAAACTAATCAAAAGAATCACATTTGTACAGGTATCAGATTTTATATCTATGTGTTTATGCATTGTTTTCATCTATATTTGGTAAATAAAAACGTCCATCTGAAATTCTTTCTAAAGTAAAAGGTATCAAAAATTAACGTCTGAAAACAAAAAGTTTTAACAAGAGAATGTGGAAACATAAAGGAGCAGAACAGATACCCTAAGTTTATATTTACTTAAAATATTCAAGTCTCTTTTCAATGCTATTATCATCAGAATTTGATGTCATTTCCTCTTAATGTTTATACATGTACATTTAGTATGTATATACATGTACATTTAGTATGTATATACATGTACATTTAGTATGTATATACATGTACATTTAGTATGTATATACATGTACATTTAGTATGTATATACATGTACATTTAGTATATATATACATGTACATTTAGTATGTATATACATGTACATTTAGTATATATATACATGTACATTTAGTATGTATATACATGTACATTTAGTATATATATACATGTACATTTAGTATATATATACATGTACATTTAGTATGTATATACATGTACATTTAGTATGTATATACATGTACATTTAGTATGTATATACATGTACATTTAGTATGTAACTCATCCGATATACATACTTACTTTATATAACAAAAACAGCAAATTTCAACATGCACTTTATTCATATCATGCATGAATATGAATAAGGCAATAAAGGGACAATGTAAGCTCGATGACATAAAATTAAACTACATTAAATACATGTAAGTACATCAAATCATTTTTCTTTGGAAAAAGTAAATGTACATAAATAAAAGAATAAATTAAAAGATAAATTAATAAAAAAAATAAGTTATTAAATATTAATCAAAATAAATACAAATCAAATAAGAAATCAATTAACAATATAAAAAGCTCATCTTTGTCTTTGTATCATTAAATAATGTTTAACTAATTTTAAATCAAATGGTATAGAAATACCAAAAAACCTACAATACAAATGTTCCGTATCGAGCATTGTTTGATCAAAGGACTATAAAATCTTGTAGACGTATTAATGTCAAATGTCATCGGTGCAATCGGCTGGATAACATATTGCCGATGATTTGCCGATGTTTATCATCGTTATTGGCAAACCAAAAAAGAATAGTACCTGTTACACACAAGGTTTAGAGTTTACTACGGAAGAGCATTAGTGCCAGATGTATGTTTTTTATTAACTCGAAATTTCGAGTTACTAACTCGAAATTTCGAGTTACTTATCTCGAAATTTCGAGTTACTAACTCGAAATTTCGAGTTACTTACGCGAAATTTCGAGTTACTTATCTCGAAATTTCGAGTTACTAACTCGAAATATCGACTTATTAACTCGAAATTTCGACTTACTAACTCGAAATTTCGACTTACATTGCACGACTTTCATTGGTTGCCGGTGAAAGCAAGGATTGAATTCAAGATACTTTCTTTCGTGTGTGGCTGTTGCACATTGACAGATCACCTTTAACATTTATTTAACAGAACAATTTTATAGGGTCAAATTGTCCACACACACTGAACATATCCTTCGCTTTTTTGAGGAGGGGGGGGGGGGGTTGTAAAATCACACTATCCACATTTCTGTGTTAATCGGGTAATTCTTTTTCTTAAGCACACATACAACCATCATGTGGAGAAACAACAAGCCGAAACCCCACCCTTTTGTAAACTGTGCAATATCATGTGTTAAATAAGTTTTAATTGGCGTGTATTCGCCAGTTAGTCTGTCACGTTTCTTTATACTTATAATGTTTTTTGTAACATTATTCATTATTTACTAATACTTTGATATTGTGTTGATAAAAGTTGATAAAAGTGATACTTGTTGTTATATATATGTTGGGAATAATATAAAAGCATCCGATTTTACAAGAAATATAGTCAGTCCAACAATTTTGACAAAGGCATCAGCACGCCCTATTTTGGCCTCGCCGCGATACTTTCCTCAGATGTCCCACACGTGAAGTATAGGATCGTTTTCTTTACAGGGATGAGAAGAATATGATATGAATTAAAAGATATGTTCGAACAGATGGGATACAATACAACGTCTGAAGAACGCCTGAACGTACAAATTAAAGGAAGCCTTGTTTTTTTTAGGTCGGATGTGTACATGCCATTACTAAGTTTAATTTAAATTTCAATAGTTTTTGTCCAGGCACCCGTTTCTCCATCTCCATCGTTCAAAGGCACTGCCTACTATATCTTATACCATCTAACTAATAACTTTGGCCATTCTTGTAATGTTAATAAGTCGAAATTTCGAGTTACTAAGTCGAAATTTCGAGATAAGTAACTCGAAATTTCGAGTTAGTAAGTCGAAATTTCGAGTTACTAAGTCGAAATTTCGAGTTAGTAACTCGAAATTTCGAGATAAGTAAGTCGAAATTTCGAGTTAATAACTCGAAATTTCGAGTTAGTAACACGAAATTTCGAGTTAATAAAAAACATACACCTGGCACTAATGCTCTTCCGTAGTTTACAGAGTTGAACAAAGTGTAAAACAAATCTTAATTAATATCTTTGAACAATACATATAGGGTGAAAATGTACAAAGTATGTCGGTTAAGTATAAAAAAATAACAATGCAATATTTGCACGAATATCTCCAATACATATGCCAATACAGGGAAACGGACAAAAGCCCTCCAGCAAAAGCCCTCCCGTCCAAAAATGACAAGGCGGACAAAACCCCTGTAACACCGCAAAACGTCCGTACCGCAAAACGTACGCGTGTGGACGTTTTGCGTCGCATATCGTACACATGTGGACGTTTTGCGGTGCATATTGTACTTGGTACGTTTTGCGGCGAGAGTGTGTCTTTGCGTCGCATATCGTCCATATTTTCTGTATTAAAATCAATTCATTATAAACGTTACTTTTATTGGTTCTGTCACTTTCATATTGTTTCAGGTAAAGATATGACGAAATAATCATTGAAGCGCAATATTTTGTGATACTCTATAATTCTGACATTTTTTATTTAAAAAGAAAGAAATATGCTTAAGCCCAAGATGTTTTTCGAATAGATTTTTATGGAATGGAACCAAGCAGCAGCAGCAGAGATATAAAAACGATGATATTGAAATAAATGTAATCTTATAGACATACAGAAAATGACAGCTATACGGACGAACCGGGGATTGGACTGAGTGAATGACAAAAATATTAAAATTAAGCTTTACTTTTGACAAAAGCTTTTCATATAATTGCATCAAGAAGTGGGAATGATTTTTTGTATTCTTGTTGACTATGGAGGTTCTACCGTTCATTTTTACGGATGGATGGGGGCTTTTGACAGCGTATTCATATTTGAGCTAGAGAGCTAATTTTATTATTGAACAATGTTATTTTATAACTGAACAAAGAAAAAAAGGTCATGGTGGCCTTATATTGCCCACCTGCCTATAAAGGCTCGATCACATGACAAGGGCAGAAAGCACTGAATATTACAAATTAAAAGCAAGTACATTTCATGTTCTTGGTCAGAATATAACTGATATCAGTACTCAATTCTACGTCTGAAATGGTCATCAATATCCAAATATCTGTAAATGACAAAGATCTGGTAATTTAGGCAAAATTCAATAGTGACCTTGAGGTTTAGGTCATTTCAAGGTCAATATTATAGTTGAACTATTCAAGATGTCGTCCTGTCATAAATGTATGACTTACATCTGATCATTGATAACAAAGAAATGGCAGTTTTATCCCAATTCAATTATTTGACTTTAAAATATGTCTTTATTTTTATCATTCAAAGGCAAATAACTCTTGACATATATTCAGTCGTTTAGATCATAAATGAACTTATCGAGACCTTATTGTTATACGTATTCTGTATAATTTTTTTAAGAATGGAGAAGAAACGAAAACACTAACAAGGTGAAATATAGTGCGTTTTTTTTTGTTAGATTTAACCTAACTTTGTTGAGATTTTATTTTCATAGATATTCTGTTAAAAATTGTCAAGATTGAAGAAGAAATGAAAGAGTTGGAGTGGTAACAATGTGAAATATAACAGATGTTGTAATTCAAGGGCAGATAACTCTGGACATATTGCTTAGGGTATGTGGATGCTATAGCTAAATTTGGACGGACAGACAATCAGACGCATACTCAGGTAAGCACACAATAACACTTGATAATAACTGGTCA